ATGTTTGCATGTTTTCACGGTGAAGCAGTCATGCACAGAGCGAAGGTTCAGCAAAGAAATCTGTCAGATCGTCTTTAAACTTTTATGTATTTAATTTTTTTTTTTTCCAGTATTGCAGCCAATACAGAACAGGTCTATATCTTATCAGTGTAAATCGTACAGAGATGTTCTCTCTTGGGGGTTCACACACAGCTGCAGTTGAAATGATGAGGTCTGTGTGGTCAGTAAAAACATTATGGACGAGTGAGCAAAACACTAAAAGATCTTAACAATACATTCAAGTTATTTTTGTTTTGGTTCATTATGAACCTGCTGATCTGAAAAATGATTCATTAAGCAACGTGGACCGAGGCTGAACTTGTATCTCCATTGAGCACTGGATGTGTCTTCAGCGAGACTAAGTGATGATAATGATGCTCTACATCTAAATCCATCAAGAAGCAATTAGAGCCGTAATTAACCTTTAACCTGAGTGAAGGTGTGTTAGTGTTTTTATGAACGTGTGTTGGATGTGTGTTTCCTCGCTGTGTGCATGTGTCGGGTGCAGGTTAGAGTCTCCTTAACTCCGTTTGTCCCTCTTGTCTCCCCGTAGCGCTGCAACGGCGTGGCTCAACAGAAGAATATGCTGGTGTCCTACATGTCTCGAAAGGCTCAGTTTCCTGGACAGGTAAAAACCACACTTCTCTTCGAAATCAAAAATATTCAATAATTCTTTTGTATTTAGGTCCTATGAATAATAATGATAGAAAATAAATATAAACGATAGAACTTTAAAATGATCAACCAGATATTATTCTCATATGATGATGTTTGTGTCGACAGTCGGGAAAGATCAAGGCTCTGATAAGTCTGATCCCAGACTTCACAGAGAAGGAGGTGTTCTACCCGTACCTGATGAAATGTCACTGTAAGACACACACACACACACACACACACACACACACACACACACACACACACACACACTTACACACACACACACACACTTACACCTACATCATTTCTACGTGTGTCTCGTGGCAGTGGGCGACTCACTGGCCTGTGGCTAAGTCAACATCAGCACATGCATTAACAATGCACCAGGTCTGTGTGTGTGTGCGTGCACGTACAGACATCGAGCAGTTGCATGAACACATGTCCTTTAATGAGTTAGCTGGCCTGGCTAGCCTAGCGTGCTAATCGCAACACAATCCACCACTCAGTGGTTTGTCCTCCCACATTTTTTCCCCCTCTCCTCCATCACTTCTTGCCCTCTGCACTGTTTCTTTTACTCTGGTCTCTTTCTGTCCTTTCTGTTTTGTCCTCCTCTCCTTGCTTTTACCTTCATCCCCCCCTCCTCACTTCACCCTCTCACCCGCCCGTCTCCCCTTTTTTGCACCGTGTCACACCAGAGATGAGCAGACATGACTATTTAATTAGCATTAGCCCGGTGGTCGGTCAAGGCGGCCATAGGGGAGGCAATTAGCGATGCTCCGCTCTCCTCTGTTCTCTGCCCCGGCTCTGTTCTTTTTTCTTTTTTTCTCTTTCTTTTCTCTTGTCTCTGTAACTTTTCTTTTTAGTGACCTTACTTTTCACTTTGATACACGCAACCACACACAGATTCAAACTGTTTCAAGTTTTCAGACGACTACACCAGCCACATCCATTCAGACAGGAGGGAGAGAATCTAGAAACTGATCTCAGTTTTATTATTTTGTAATAATTTACCTTTTAAGTGTGTGTGAAATATTATGTTGCTCTCCTGATGTGTTCTCTGTGTTCTGGTTATTTCCCACCTCTGTTTCTTCATTTCTTAACTGTGGAGAAAATTAATCCACATATTTACACAACTACTGTCCCCGACCAGCTGCTTGTTAAACAACTACAACCAGCAGGATTTTAGAAGTCACATATTTCCCTGATAAAGTTATGTGAAGTCTACATCACATTATTTTCCCACTAAAAGTCTGACAGTCTTTTTTTTTTGTTTCTTCCACACTCATCTTTATTTAGGATGAAGACATTTAGAAAAAATCTTTTGAATCTTTTGTCTCATTTTATTTTTCCCTCTCTTCACCTCTCATCTGGCAGTCGTGGATAAGGACTTGGCGTCGGCCAAAGCTCTGCATGAGCAGATGCAGAAGGAGGGGATGGTCATAGATGAGCTGTCACTCAAACGGCTGGCTGTGCTTTACCGCAATGCAGAAGAGACTGTGCCCTTCACCGAGCCCCCTGTGAGTCTCACACACACACACACACACGTCTACACACACGTCTACACACACGTCTACACACACGTCTACACACACGTCTACACACAGCTCCGACCATGCAGATACCAACAGCAGATTATGAACAGATCTGTGTACAAATACAACCACACACAGTCCACAGCTCCTAACCACTGCTGGCACTCATACAGCCGGTGTCCTGATACGTGCCTTTGTGTTCGTGCTGTGGTCCGTGTGTGTGTGTGTGTGTTTGTGTGAGTGGTAGTAATGTGAAGGAGCAGTTTGCTGGGCCGCTCAGGATAGTTCAGCACACACGAGGCCTGCAGCCAGCCTCCCGTGTTTGTTGCTTTGTGTGTGTGTCAGAAAATTGTGCCCCACGGTCACAGAGTACATATATTGTGTAAGCGAGATGGTGTCAGTGCAATAACCGCTCTCTTTTTCTGGCTCCAAGTGTTTTTGAGCATTTCAGCACATTGCACATTTTGTAAGATGATGTAGCTCTATTTTTGGTGGAGGACACACACACACACACACACACACAC